ACATAACTCACGTTGCCTGCTTTGTAATTTTTGAGAGGCTCAGAATCTCTCTGTGAGGGGTTATAGGCCAGGGGCACAATCAGACAGGGCCAAGGTTCAAATTTTATTCACAGCATGACCTTCAATGATTTGCTTTATTGCTCTGAACTTCAGTTTTCTTGTCTGTAAAATGGGGGTGGTGAGAGCACATGCTTTCCTAGGAAATGAGGTCCAGTTCTTCTAGCAGGGGCCTGACGGGGAAGGGCTCAGTAAGTAGGAGGCACAATCATTGCCACCACCATCATCATCCTCATCGTCAGTAGGGGTTGTTGTATTACATGTAAAATATTTCTTCCAGGAATTTCAATTTAGAAAAAGAGCTTATATGTCACAGAAAAGAAAGCTCTGCTCTACTGGCTCAGAGCAAAATAGCAAGCGAGTCATTTGCTAACTGTGCGCAAAGGGGCCTTGAAGCAGCATCGAATCCCTCCTCTGTCTGCACGTGACTCCAAAGGTGCAACGTGCTGTGTGTGGGTGTCAGAGCCCATTAATCACCCCTTTTTTATTTTCAATAAAAGAATAACTACATAAACAACTTCAAAGGTGGAACAATAGTAAGGCAATATGTTAAAACACAGACACTATTCTTCAGTGCAAACATTTTAAATTTTTCAGCAAACTTAAAATGGGCTTTCAGATAATTTGACATTAGCAAAATCCTGAATACATATAGCAACTCTTAGGTTTTTAGGTTTTTAATTGCCCAGAGTCTCTCCACTGAGGAGTCTGGCCTTGCTAAACTGTTTTCCCCCTCATTAGTGTGTTATAAATAATTTTTAATTGGGTGAAAGGGAAGCCAGCAGGTCCCATGACGGGAGCTGTCAGTAGTAAAATAAGAACTCGCTGAAGAAAAACTGGAACCCGGGACTCGGTGTCATGAGAACACTCTGAGCCTACTCAAGGGTGGTCAGAAGTTTTCCGCGTGGTTTTTAAAATGATCTTCTGCAGAGCAGTCATTGCATTTGTGATAATCTGGACTGTTTGAAAAAATTTTTTGTGCTTTCATAGCAAATATGATTGAAGTAAAATTGCAAAAGAATATTTTGCCCTTGAAATCTTGTTCTAAGTGTATTTGCACATTTGATACTTACAATATCAAACATTCAGTGAAAAGTGCCTTAAACAATCAGCTTGAGATCAGGGATTTGGCATCCTGGCTTTCCCCAGAGTAATGGGCAGAATTAGAAGATGCAAGAAGTTTCTGTGACATCATCAGAACCTCCCCAAAATTTTGGCCAAGGAAATTCGGGATATAGGAAATATGAATTTAAAAAGTCCTTTTTCATGTAGCTCTTAGGAAGGCAATATTATTCTCTAGGCATCAATCCAAGATTCCAACAAAGACCTGTCCATCCTTTTTGCCAAATGTCTTGTCCAATGGCTGTCAATGTCTGATGTGGTTTGTCTTTTCCAATATTTTTGAAGGCTACTAAATCCTTTAGGTCTTTAATATACTGGAAAAATATACATCCCAATGCCTTGCACCTTAAAGAAATCAAGGCAAGCTACATTCTTCCTGAATGATCTTCAAAGGAGTTCCAACTCTGGAATATTCAGGGTGAACTTGACTGTCCCGTAGTCCATTGCTGTAACCTTCAGAGCAGCGGTTCTTAGCATTTCACGGAAGAATCACACAGAGAGGCTGCTACAGCAGGATTTGCAGCTTCCATCCTGAGAATTTTGAATATAGGAAATTTGGAGTGGAGCCCCGGAATCTGTGGCTTATCCCAATCCTGGTGGTTCCTGTGCGGGAGGCCCAGGGACCACACTTTGAGAAACAGCTACTTGCCGGCTCCTGTCTGTGTTCCCGCAGTGCTGGTGCACTTAGCCCGTAAAAGGTTCTGGGTCTTTAATATTACTGCGCCACTGACAGGATGATTTACTACCCTGTGGGTCACTGGCGTGGAGATGCACACAAACATTTGTGGAATGTCATCGATGGTATTTTCATGGAGGCCCATCACATAAGGAAAATATGCACAGAAATGTGGTAACACCATTGCCAGGTTTGAACACAAACCCAGATCTCTCCGTCTTAATTACTAGAGTTTTATGACACATCCTGACGTCTGATAAGGCAAGCCTTTAACCTCTTCAGGCGTGTCCTGTTTCTCCTTGGCATACATATATTTGGTCATTTACCATTTTTTCTTTTTTTAAAAAATGGAGATACATTTCACATTGCATAAAATTCATTTTAAAGTATACAATTTAGGGGTTTTTATTAATAGTAAGCACTACCACCACCCAAACATTGTCATCCCAAAAAGAAACCCTGTACCTGTTAGCAATACTCCCCATTGCCCAGAGCAACCACTCATTTACTTTCTGCCTCCGTGGCTCTGCCTGTCCTAGACGTTTCATACAAATGGAATCATGCAACATAAGGCCTTTGTGTCCGGCTTCTTTCGCTGGCGTACTGCTTTCACGGTTCAGCCTGCTGTAGCATGTGGCATGCTTTTTCTTTTCATATCTGTGCAACATTCCAGTGTGCAGGTAGACCACATTTTGTTTGTCCATTAACCAGTTGGTGGACATTTAGCTTGCTTCTACCTTTTGGCTATCATTACTAGTGCTGTTATCAACATTTGTGTACAAGCTTTTGTGCAAACATATGTTTTCAATTCTCTTGAGTATATACCTAGAAGTGGAATTGCTGGGCCACGTGGCAACTCTAATGTTTAACTTTTTTTTTTTTTTATTTAGACATGGTTGCTTTATTTTGCACTTTAGAATTCACAAAAAGCTTTATAATATCTGCATTCTCCTTGTTGATCATCAAGGCTTTATGGTAAGACAGTGAAAATTTTATCACATCAATTGGGCATACTTAAAAAACAATGGAAAATTTACAAACAAATCTCTTTAATCAAAAACATTTTGTAAAATACACTCTCTGGTACACATCTGAATTCATCTATCCTAAAATTAGACTTTAAAGGGCTTAAAAAAAAATCCCTAAACAAACAGTTTTAACACTGATAAGCCTACCAGAATAATGCTGATGGCAAGCTATAAACAGCTTTAAAGCTGAATGTAATTTGGGGGAAGGGGAGAAGAAGAAATTATCTGTTGAACCTACATTTAAATGCATCTGTTAGTAAGACTTCTCTAACTCAATGAATTTCAACAAAGTGAACAACTCCTTCGCCTTTGGTAGTTTCCTAAGTTTTATTTTTAAATTTGTGACATCTTGACTAAACAAAATGAATCCTGGGGCTAGAATATTTAAGGAAAAGAAAAACATTGGTGGTAATCCCAAAACAGTATTAGTGATAAAAAACAAATATAAAATAAAAATAAAAAATAACCAAAAAAAAAAAGAGAAAAACATTGGTGGGAAAAGAGGAAAAACAAGATCAATACCTTTCTTAGTCTATCTAAAGTGAGTGACTGCTATTAAGGAAAAATATCAGAGTTGATATGTATGGGATTTAGTTTGGCTTAAAGTTAGATAAGTTAACATCTAAATGACAAAAATAAAACTTCAAGGTGATCTTATTTAGAAAATTAAAAAAAATAATTGTTGCCCTCAATTAGTTTTTAAATCTGTGAAAGAGCATAATATGTACTTTGAGGCACCCAACAGACGATCTGTTAACATTATTCATACTGCTATTTTCAATTTTAATATACTTTTTATGTGCTTTGGGGTAGCTCTTTAGATACTATCAGTAGAGGCCACTGAAAATAATGCCAGAATTTGAGTAAGAAGAGAGTAGAAACCAAAATAGGATGGGAGGATAATGAAATTGGGTAGTAATAACAAACAAGATTTTCAAGATTTCCTCACTAACTAATACTGCAAAATTGTATATTTTGGCTCAGGGCCACTGGGCTGCTGGAAGTGATCAGGAAATGAGTGGAACATCCTAATCGTCCCACTTGGATTCTTAACTAACCCGTGATTTGGATGGCTCACTCATGAAGGACTGTTCACACAGGCTGCTTGGTAAGGGGTAGCTGTGTCGGGCTTACCATCAACACCTATTTGCTTTGTTTCTTTCAAGAACACTTTTGAAGGGCTAAGGACGTCTAAAAGGCAGGAGAACAAAGAACTCACTAGACTACAGAGATTAACAAGGGAATAATCTGTAAATAGTGTAATCATGGGCATGTTATCAATCACCTTCTTTCTTCAGGTGGGGAATAAGGATCTATAAAAAAAAAAAACAAAACTCCACTCCATTACTGGGCCTATGAAAAAATAAAACATTCTAAATTTTTCCTCTTTTGATCAGAAATTTCAACTTTAAAATATCCCTAATCTGTCATCTCAAATTATCCCTTTTATTAGTCTTATAAATGATATTGCTTAAAGTCTCATACATCAGTGAAAAAGTCAGAAGTTTCAGGATTAATAGATGACATTGAGTTCATTTACTTAGAAAAAAGGATTTTATTCTGAGGTGTCTCTCAGAGATTGAAGCGCTCTATGTTATCATTGAATGAGACTTATTCTCAAAGCAAATATTCTCTATGATACCAAAGTATTCTGTTTATTATGATAGTACACTTTAACATATTAAAAGCCACAAAGCCTAAGAAAAGCAAGCAACAAGTCAATAAAATCACAACTCAGCATCCTAACATTTTCACATGGTACCATTCACTATGAAATGCAAAAAGACTACTAATGTTTAAGTGGTATGATCTCTAGCCTGTAAATTACACTCTTGTGACCAAACAAATGATTATATACTTGGAAGACTATAGAACATGAGTAGCCACAGAAAGCTGTTCTTCAGGACTGCTTTTGGAAAGCTTGAAAAATTAATTGACCCATCATTTTAGGGGGCAGGGGGGAAAGGTGCATATGAATTAGGAGGCTTTACATGTAGAAAAAAAATCTAATTAAAATATTTTAAGCAGACTATTTTAAATGTTTATTTGATACTGGAAGTATGGTCAACTATCATAAAGTATTTCTCTTCATCACAAAAATTCCATATATTAAGGATTTACGCAATCCGGCGGGGGGGGGGGGGTGAATCTAGAAACTTTTTTTTTTGCCTGAGCAAAAAAATCTGAAAAGGCTCTCCAAAATCTTGAGTAGAAGTATCATACTCTGCAATAAAATGCTTGAATTCTTTAACACACCGCTCACCTATTTCATGTAAATTCTGCCTCAATGCAAACTGTATAGGCTTTTCTAATGAAGGATCTTTTTCAATCAGCATTTTCACCACCATCCCAAAAGTTTCACAGTCTTGTCGGTAAACCTGTTCAATCTCTTTGGTTTTTGATGCTATTGCTTTAGAGCGACTGGTTAGCTGACTGTCTTCAAATAACTCTATGCCATCTGTTGCATTTGACTCAGGTTCTTCTGGCTGGTCAATGTACAATGGTGCCGTGGATTCCGCCTCATACTCAGAAATTTCAGGCAAGTTACTTTCATCTGATTTCTCTAGCTTTTCAGCAGTTCACTTACTTGCAGCCTCAGCAAGTTCTTTTTCAGTTAACCTACTGGGTTTGTCTAACACCTTTGATGATGGAACTGCTGAAGAACTTGAGGGTGAAGTATCTCTCGATGTTTCCAAAGAGTGTACAGGTCTCTCTTTATTTCTATATTGAGACTGATGGAAAGAGTATGGTTTGCTTCTTTCTGGAGAGTAGCTTCTACTACTGACACTGGAGCCAGATCTGCTGTGTGGAGAATCTTTTCTGCCAATGGGAGATTCTCTGAAAAGCGGATTATCCCTTTTACGAGGAGACCGGTCTCTCACATAATGGGAAGAGTAGAAGCCTTTTCTTCTAAAGCCATCTCTCATGTCCCTGTATTCAGGCTGTCGGCTTACAGAATGATCATCTCTTGCCCATCTATAACCACATTCATCTCCTCTGTGAGGCGGACCACTTCTTCGATCATGAGAAAAACTGCGGCCCTCGTCATATTCTCGGTTATCAACATGACTGTCATATCCATTGTAGCTTCCTTCACCAGGTCTGTCTAGCAGTGGTGGTTTCTTTGGCACAATATTAACTACTCTATGGTAGCCATCACTGGGGTGACTTCGAGGAGGTACTCGTTCTCTTGGAAGTCTTTCATAGTCATATCGTCCCTCAGACCACATTTCATCTCTTCTATAAGCCACGATTCTGGGCCACTTGGAAACCCGTAAACGTAGTCTGCCCCTCGCCGCCGCTATCCTCTAATGTTTAACTTTTGAAGAACTGCCACACTGTTTCCCACAGTGGCTACATCATTTTACATCGCTATGAGTGTCTGAAGGTTCTAATTTCTCCATATTCTTGTCAACACTTGCTATTATCTGTTTTTTTGATTACAGTCATCCTAGTGGGTGTGAAATGATATCTCATTGTGGTTTTGATTTGCATTTCCCTTATGACTAATGATACTGAGTATGTGTTTTTATGTGTTTATTGGCCATTTGTCCCTCTTTTTTTTGGAGAAATGTCTATTCAAATTGTACACTTTACGTTGGATTGTCTTTCTATTGTTAAATTGTAAGAGTTCTTTATTTATTCTGAATACTAGACCCTTATCGGATATATCATGTGCAAATATTTTCTCCCATTCTGTGGGCTGTCTTTTCACTTTTTTTTTTTTAGATGTGGGGTCTCACTATGTTGCCCACGCTGGCCTCAAACTCCTGAGCTCAAGTGATCCTCCCACCTCAGCCTCCTGAGTACATGCACCACTGCGTCTGGCTGTATTTTCTTGATGGTGTCCTTTCAGGCACAAAAGTTTTTAATTTTGATGAAGTCTAATTTATCTATCTTTTCCTTTGGTCACTTGTGCTTTAGGTGTGACATATAAGTGGTCGACTCTGAACCACTTGCATAGCTGTGTGCTATTGGGAAAGTTACTCACGACAGCCGTGCCTCAGTTCCCCTATCCGTAAAGCGAAGATGATAGTAACAGTGCATACCCCAACTGTGGTTGGGAGGGTTAAATGAGACAAAGAGTGGGAGAGTGCCCAGAAGATTTCTGGCGCGTGGTGAGTTCTCAGGAAATGTTAGGTTTGAGTTGCCATCATCGTCATCATCACTATCATCATCCAGGTTCCCACAGTGTGAAATAGATGTTTGTGAATTAAATGACTTGTGTCTGTGGGGTGGACGCTTTTGTTCATCTCTGCAGCCCCTGTAGTCCTAGAGGACTCCGCCCCAGCTCCACGGCCCTGGCCCCAGCCAATCAGTGCATCACTTGCCCAGCCACAATGATTGGTTCAAGGACTATCATATGACTGAGGTCTGGCCAATGAGAAATTACGAGACTCAGTTCCAGGCCGTTGAGCTCTCTTTGCTCCCAAGGACTTTGAGGTGAAAAGGTGGCACCTCTGCAGCCCTCTGCACCCCAAAAGGAGAGTCTGCCTGAGAATGGAGCCAGTGAAGAGTGGGTAGACCCCAGAGACGGCAGGTGAGAAATAAGTACCAGTGACATAATTTGACCTCTGTGTTAAACTTCACCTGAAGGCAGATCTATGCCTTTTAATAAATTATGTGAGCAAAATAATGATAATAAAATAAATTAAAAATTTAAAAAATCCTTTCCAGATTACGTTAGGTTTTCTGTCACATGCACTGAAAAGATCCTAAACAATAGTTATTCCAAGGCTGCGTGACATACAAATTTACAAATATTTCTGCTTGCATTTTTGTTCCTATTGATTTTTACTTTGTTGGAGGCAGGGTCTTGCTCTGTCGCCCAGCCTGGAGTGCAGTGGTGTGATCATAGCTCACTGCGGCCCTGAATTCCTGGCCTCAAGCGATCCTTCTGCCTTGGCCACCCAGAGTGCTGGGATTACAGGTGTGAGCCACTGTGTTCAACCTCTAATTGCGTATTTAACAGAACTTATGCTCCATATGTAAAATTCAGTGCAGTCAGTGCTGAAATCATGAGATACTTGGCCTTTGACTAGCTTGTGCATATAAATGCCTGGTGAGCCCTCCTGGGAGCGTGGTTGCCTGCTTCCCTACTCATCTTCCACAGGGTCTGAGTGGCAACCAAGCTGTCTTGTGCCAACACTGCCACTTGTGGCCAAGAAGTGTCTGACTCAGTGTCTTTCCCACAAGTATCTTCCCTGTGTCCCAGGAGAGAATTATTATCACCTGTCCCCTTGTATCCTTTTCATTTACAGTAATCGCAGCTCAATTCAGGCAATTTGGTAGGTTGTGATTTGCTTTGGGAGCTCACTTGATCTTCCCCCAGCCCCACCTCTGCCCCTACCTGTTTCATTGACAGTGACACCTTGAACCTTCCCCTGGGGCACGGCCCCGAGGCTTTAAGGTCAGGCCTGCTGTCCTCCTTTCAAACAAGTATATTACAATGGCTCCTTTCCTCTCCTGAAGTAAAATTCATAGATAATATTACCTGCTTGCAACCCATAGTTTAAACAAATCAACATAATGCCCTAGTTGTCATATTAAAGTGAAACAATAAGGAAAATAATTTGTAATAAAATAATATGTATTTCCCCATAGAAGTGCTTGGGCAGGACTACCCTGGAAGAGAAGATAAAGTTGTTAAATGATTATGCCTATGTAATAATGAATATGTTTGGATTTAAGAGAAATAAGGCACTCTAACTGAATAACGTACACTTTGAAATAAAGGGCTAAAAATACACATTTATACATATGCATAATTTCACCAGGAATAGAACAGCTACAAACACAGACAGACACAGCTGTGGTCCACTGATAACTGGGGACTGCAGGTGATTTTCTGAAGGGTGAACAGCTGCTAGGAAAGCCCTGGGAAAAGGAAAGCACAGCCACCCGTGGCTCACACAAAGGTTCCATTCCTGCTAAGGTCATGCGTGCTGCAAGCCTTGCCACTCTGTTCAGTGAAAAGTCGACTGAGATTCTGGACACTGGTAACCGCAAGCAGGGACGCTGGGCCTTGCAGATGTCTGGCGCTCCAGGATCCAGGCTGCAATACGGCGGCAGCTCCGCCCACCAACTGCTGGGAGCTGCAAACACCCTGCAAATGTCCACAAGGCCCTGGGGCGACACAGCTCCCTTTGAGAAACTCTAGTTTAGAAGAGTCTGACAGCCGCAGGGCCAGGGTGGACTCCGTGTAGCCATCCATGGGCACACTGACTACTCAGCTCACAGTGCCTCAGGGCCCTCCTCTGAAAAGTGGGGCTCTTTGATGTTGGTTAAGATGGTGCTGACACGGTGGCTCACGCCTGTAATCCTAGCTCTCTGGGAGGCCGAGGCGGGCGGATTGTTTGACCTCAGGAGTTCGAAACCAGCCTGAGCAAGAGCGAGACCCCGTCTCTACTAAAAATAGAAAGAAATTAATCGGACAACTAAAAATACATAGAAAAAAT